CGGCCCCCCCCCGCTGCAGGGGAGAACCAGGCGCTGCCGGGAAGCAGAAAATCTTTCCATTTTCTCCCCTGCTTTCTGCTGGCTGCGGTGCCGCTCGAGGTCGGTGAGCTGCGGGACATCCCGGGTTCCCCGAAATTCACGGCTGAGCCACCTTTCGCTGAAGGGCTGTGATTTAACCACGGGAATTATGCGGCAAAGCTGACCTCGTGGCTGGGAACGGTACTCAGCTAGGGACGCCGGGAAGCAGAAAATCTTTCCATTTTCTCCCCTGCTTTCTGCTGGCTGCGGTGCCGCTCGAGGTCGGTGAGCTGCGGGACATCCCGGGTTCCCCGAAATTCACGGCTGAGCCACCTTTCGCTGAAGGGCTGTGATTTAACCACGGGAATTATGCGGCAAAGCTGACCTCGTGGCTGGGAACGGTACTCAGCTAGGGACGGCTCCAGAGGGCATGGGGCATGTCCAGGCCACCACAACAGGGACAGGCAGGGACTTCCCAAAGTCACCCTAAAAACGATGGGATTTCTTAATGCCACCACTTGCTGTCACGGGCTGATCCTGCGAGCCACGCGGGAAAAAAACAACCCACTTGCTGCATTTGGCCTCTTCGCAACCAGTCTTGCATTGAGGGTGACGCTCAGCGTAGAGGGACGGTCCGACCTGTGTGCCTGGACAGAGAGATGCCAGCCCCCAGGGAGGCAGAAGTGCCTTGTAAGCCACATCCCAACATCTGCAGCATCCACATCTGGCCACAGCTCCCTCTGGTGCTCATCTGTTTTTCAGCTCTACTCAAACAAGTTGCTTTAGCAACCTGCTTGGCCAAACCCAAGCCCCCTTAGGGAAGGGAAAGGGGCTGCAAAAGGAGGTGGGTAAGGCGATGGAGTTCCTACATGGGTTGGCCCTGAGACACCTCCCATTGAAACCGATGGCTGCCTCGCCTCCCCAGCCGTGTGATGCGCGACAAGCGCCGAGGACCACAAAGCGATGCAAAAAACCCCGCTCTAAGGGTGGGAAAGCGCCTGCAAAAAGCAGCGGGCAAAAATAAGACTCAGGGGCTCATAAGCGTGGAATGGAAAGGCTGCCTCTCCACGGCAGCCCTGATTCTGCAAAGGTCTATCCACACCCTGACTTTGCATCCGAGCAGCTCCCTGGAACTTGGATGGAAAAGGCCAAAATAAGAAATTTGTCCGGCAGGTGTACAAGATGCTGACTGTTCGTGCACCACGCTGGATGCTCGGCAGCGCACACCTCCGTGGCAGGGAAGGGCACGGTGCCAACCTACAACAGATGGGGAGCTGGACCACAGAACTCCTCATAATAGGCAAAAAAAAAACCCAAACCACCCCAAATAACTCCCTTTTACCTTCTCCCCACTTTTACTAATTTACAGGGGCTATTTTTGTTACGGGGAAGTCCTAAACGGCTGGAAAGCGTGTTTTTCTTCTCCCCCTGCAATTACATCAGGCGCTGAATCAAAATTGAATTTCCTATCGCCCTTCCTATCAGTCGCTCCCTCTTCCCCAGGCTGGCAAAACCCACCTCCTTATCTTCCCCCTCCCCTCCCAAACCCCCTTCGAAGCTCGCCTCTGGCAGCGTGCCTACAACAGCAGCGCAGCGGGCAGGCGCAGGGACGAGCCCGCGACCGAAAACTTCTCGTAGCACTTTCCTCCCTCTTCACCCCGTCCTTCCCCCCC